GTTAAAAGTTTATGTACAAATATATGTCATGCATCTATTGGTTTGATATAAATACTTGATTGTCACGACTTGACAATAGTGGGTTGCTCTAGTGATGAGCACCCTCCACTTCCAATCAAGAGGTTGTGAGTTCGAGTCACCCCAAGAGCAAGGTGGGGAGTTCTTGATGGGAGGGAGCCGAGGGTCTGTCGGAAACAGCCCCTCTCTACCCTAGGATAGGCGTAAAGTCTGCGTACACACTACCCTCCCCAGACCCCACTAGTGAGATTATACTGGGTTGTTGTTGTACTCGATTGTCACGACTCTATTTTCCTCTCTGTAGGGTATCGTGATTGCACTTAGTCTCTAAGACTAGGTAAGCCTAATAATTTGCGAAATCAATGAGTAACAAACTGAACTCCCATCTCAACACATGATATATAAATATAAAAATGCCATTCAATAATTACAACTCCCAAAATCCGGTGGAAACAAGTCACAAGCTTCTAAGAGCAAATACTAAGTGTCTCTATACATCAGAGTCTAAAGAAAGATAAGGAATACAACATAGTAAGGATAGAGGGGGACTGCAAGGTCTGCAGACGCTGGCAGATATACCTAGAAGTCTCCACGTACGGTTTGGCTCACTGGTATCTGGTCTGGTGGAAAGAACCTGGATCTGCACAAAAGATGTGCAGAGTGTAGTATGAGTACGCCACAACGGTACCCAGTAAGTGCCAAGCCTAACATCGGTAGAGAACTGACGAGGTCAGGTCAGGGCCCTACTGATTTTAAAAAAAAGTAAGGCAGAGGATATAATAATATTTTAAAATGACTGAGAATTTAAACAATAAGAAGTTTCAGAAAATATCAGCACAATAAATAGAGGTACACAACAGGGGCACTCCCGAGGTACCGCCTCGTAGTCCCAAATGTAAAGATGCAATACATGGGGATCTCCCGAGGAACCGCCTCGTAGTCCCAAAGTAAATATGTAGTACAGGGGGGTCTCCCGAGTAAACGTCTCGTAGTCCCAAAGTAAATATGTAGTACAGGGGGGTCTCCCGAGTAAACGTCTCGTAGTCCCAAAGTAAATATACAGCAGGTATACAGTTAAAAATTTAATTCAAATCAAGGAAAGCAGGTAATTCAACTAAGCATGTTGCACAAAATACAAGTAAGAGTTAAGGCATGTAGACATGCGATGCTAGACTAAATATGATCACTACATATGCTAAGGCAACTCAGTTAATGTATTTTTAAAAGAAGACAACTCAGTTAATGTATTTTAAAAGATGACAAATCAGCAATAACCGAATTTTTCATAATCAACACGTGTACGCACTCGTCACCTCGCGTATACGGCGCTCACATATCATAAATTGTTACAACAATACCAAATCCTAAGGAAATTTCCCCCATACAAGGTTAGACAAGTCACTTAACTCAAATATCGTTCAATCAATCCGTAAGAATACCTTTCCCTCGGTTTTCCGACTCCGAATGGCCCAAATCTAGCCAAAAGCAATTTCATAACATGAATACAATTACAAGAAACTAATTTAAATCATAAATTTACGACATTAGCAAGGAATCGAAAAATCACCTCAAAAAGTCGACCCGGGCCCACACCTCATAATCGGGTAAAAGTCACAAAATACGAATACCCATTCAACCGCGAGTTCACCCATACTAAAATTATCAAAATCCGACATCAAGTCGTCACTCAAATCCCCAAATTATACTCTCCAAATCTCTAGCCTCAAACTCCCACATTCTACCTTAAACACACATAATCTAGGTGGAAAAATTAACGAGGAAACAAGATTATTGATAAAAAATAAGCACAGGGGACTTATCTCAAGAAATCCCTCGAAAATGCTCTAAAAAATCGCCAAAACCGAGCTCAAATGTCTAACAAATTATAAAAATCCCGAGCCCTTGAATTAATAGAATCTGCCCAGGCTTTCCGCTTTTGCGGACCAAATTCCGCTTCTGCGGTGAAGTCTCTGCATCTGCGGAATTCACTTAAATACCAAGGTTCTGCACTTGCGTGCAAATCTCCGCATCTGCGGATGCGCTTCTGCGGTCCCTCGTCCGCTTTTGCGGAAGCCTCCCCAAGCACTCGCCCGCTTCTACGATCGATCCCCCGTAGAAGCGACTCCGCTTCTGCGGCCCTCTCACTGCACATGCGATCACTGGCCAATTCCCTTAGTCCCTCACTTGCACCCCATTGCTTGCACCTGCGGGCTCTCACCTGCGATCAACCTTGCGCAGGTGCGATTACACCAGAATCAGCCCAGTACCACAAAATCTTCTAAGTCCAAAAATGATCCGTTAACCATCCGAAACTCACCCGAGGCCCCCGGGACCTCAACAAAATATACCAACCAATCCTAAAATATCACACGAACTCAGTAAAGCCTTTGAATCACATCAAATAACGCTAAAAACACGAATTACACATCGATTCAAGCCTAATGAACTTCAAAGCTTCAAACTTCTACATCTGATGCCGAAACCTATCAAATCAAGTCCGATTGACCTCAAATTTTGCACACAAGTCTTAATTGATATTACGGACCTATTTCAACTTTCGGAATCAGAATCCGACCCCGATATCAAAAAGTCAAAATCATTCCATTTCTAACTTTCGCCGATTGACGCTAAAATGACCTACGGACCTCCAATTCAACATCCGAACACACTTCTAAGACCAAAATTGCCCTACGGAGCTATAGGAATCGTCAAAATTCTATTCCGGAGCCGTCTTCATACAGTTCGAACTACGGTCAATTCCTATAATTTAAACCTCTATTTTAGGAACTATGTGTCCCATTTCACTCCGAAACCAAAAATAAATTTTCTCGGCAAGTTACATAACCACTAACTGAAATAGAGGGAGCAATAAATAGGGGATCAGAGCTAATTCTCTCAAAACAATCGGCCGGATCGTTACATCGATGCAATTAAATTCATACATCCTTCTATTCTATTTACGCTCCGAGTACTATTACAGAAATTTGTTGGAATAATTTATGCAAGTGGAGCAATGGCATCAATAGTTGGAGTTATAATCTAAGACCCTCAAAAACTACCCTTTTAGGAGTACTATTCTTACCACAACTTCTTTATGTTGTTTGTAGTGTGCTGGATTTGACCTTCATCCTTAGATGGAACTTAAATCTTGGAATTCCTAACTATTTTTTCGTCATAGTGGAAGAATGCACAAGTAGAATTATCACAAGATTTAGATGGATCCCTATGATTGTATTGAACACAAGATTATGTCCTGTGGGCATTGAAGGGACATTTTTTGCTTTGTTAGTGCTCGTTTGGTCTGGGATAAGAGATAATTAATTTTCAGATTAAATTTGAGATGAGTTAATACCTCGTTTGGTTGGGATAAAATAGCGGTATAACTAATCCCGAAATTAGTTATCTCATGATTATAATACTATTTTAATCCTTATGGAAGAATGTGATAACAATCCCAGGATAACTAATTTCAGGATAATTAATCCTGAAATAACTTGTTTCTCCACCCAACGACCCCTTAATCTGTATTGACAGTCTTGGCACATTAACATCTAAATCAGCTGGAGGTTTGTTCTTCATTTTATACATGTCACAATAAGTGATTTCAAGAACTTGTGGTTGGCAATTTTCTTAAAAATTCTACTAAGAATTGCTACATGAAGTTTACTATTTTTGGTACCAAATTGTGATCAGTCTGAATATTTAGTTCCCCATGATTTTTTGACAGGAGCTATAGATACTAGTACTCCAATATGGATGATGACAATATCCAACTTGTGCCCTTGAAGGAGAAAACAGAAGTTTGAATTATTTGGAGAAGTTTCCTTGTACTTTTGTGCTGTACATGTTGTAAATCCTTTTTTCCATTTGTTCTTTATAAAAATATTTATTTTTAATAAAATATTGAACTAATTAAGACGGAAACAAATGGAGCAACATGAACAGTAAAAATTCATGTAACAAATCCTAACTAGTTCTTGGATTTGAGACGTAATAATGCTAATTGTTGATCAATAGAGAAGCGTAGTATGTTTAATAAAAGAGTCAATTATACTTTACATCAAACAACATATTTCTCTATTTTATAGTATGTGTTTTGCTCACCTTTATGACATCACTTTTATTGGATATTAATTTGTAATATATCAAACTAAACATTCACAATAATAGATACAAAGACTTGCTTCTGATGTTTGTATTACTAATATCTACATTACATTCCATGTATTATTAATCTCTCATAACTTGTTGCTAGATATAACAAACGGGCGGATCGGGTCGGATATGAACGGGTCAAAACGAGCAATGCAAAAACGAATAAATTATCCGACCTGACCCATATTTAATACGGATAGAAAATGAGTTAACAGACGAATAATATGAATATCTAAATTATCGATGACTTCTTGAACATGACAACTTTTGGGAGAATTTCTAGTGGGCGGTTGGACATAAGAATTATGAATTTTTGGAATAAAAGTGAATTTATTTCATGTGAAAATGATATTTAAAAATTAGAGTTGTGTTTGGATATAAATATAATTTGGAGATATTTTTTAATTTTTGTGAGCGATTTTGAAGTGAAAATTTTGAAAAAACGATTTTTTGAAGTTTTTTAAATTTCCGAAAAATTCCAAAATTCAACTTCAAGTGAAATTTAAATTATTTATGAGCAAACACTAATTCCGAAAAAAGTAAATTTTTTTGAAAAATGGTGAATTTCTTTACTGCCAAACGAGACCTAGTCTTCCAAACTTGAGCAACTCCCAATTTGAGTCTTTATAAATGTAAATGTTAAATTTATTAATTATCTATTTTTTAAGTGAATAATATAATTCGTTTTAATAGTTGACCAATTTTTAAAAAATTTATTATCCAATTTATTTTTATTGAATAGTACGAATGAATAACTATTTTTTATTTATTTTGCTGCCACTACTTGTCCCAAACCAAAAAAAGGACTATGTCACTATTTAAATGTATGATATTCACGTGAAGACGCGACTATTAAAGCAGCCCTCAGATTTTCCCCTCCTTATTCCTGCGGCTTTTTCGTTTTCTCTGTTTGCAAACTCACGAAAATACAAGCCTCGTCGTTCTTCATTCGTAATGGTAAATATCATTTTTCAATTCAAACATTATTTTCGTGCTTCTTTAATTGTATATCATGTGATTGTTAGGGCTCTGTTTTCTTCCTTTCTTCAATTTGGGTGTATTTAGGTTATGCCATAGGAGTGCAAAGTAGAAATTGGGTGTATTTTCATGCTATTAGTTTTGGGGCTTTTGAACTTATTTTTTGTTTCTTTTTAACCCTGTGATATGGTATAGTGTTAAAGTTGAAATTTTTGGACCCCTACTTTTTGTCTTCTGTTTGCTGAGATGATTATGCTTTCAGCTGGCTTAAATCCTTTAACTTATTTTTTTGTTTCCCACCCGGTGTCCGTTACCCGCATTAGAGCCTGACTAAATCCGAATTCGTGCCGGGAAGTCCCACATTGGGGGATAAAGCGCTCCTAACAAAGGTGACTCCATACCCAGGGCTCAAATCCGCGACCTCTAGTTAAGGATGAAGAGTACTTAACTAACTACTCCTCTATGTTAATTTAAACTGATAAATGATTACAAAGCTACCGGTTACTTTAGCTTTAATTTTTGTTTATGTTTTTTCTTTTGGCCGGGTGGGACGGGAGTGGTATTGGTGAGATTTGAACCAATATGACTTGACTAGTTAGTTGTTGTTGTTGTTATTGATGACTTGAGTGTAAGCTTAAATTGCAACCACTAGGCTATAAATTCAGTCTCATCTTTGTTTAGCTTTATTTGATTATTTTGTGGGTTGTTTGAGGGAGGAGAGGGGGGTTTGCGAATGGGGGGAAGGGGAATCACATGGGTGAGATTTGGATCATGCACTGCCCCAGGGCTTTGGTCTTGTGTAGGCTAGGCGCTTGTAGCGGGTTCGAATACTACCATAGTAAAAGCCTGGTATTTAAATAGAGAAGGGTAGAGGGTGGGTCCACTATCCACCGAATTTCGAACCGTCCGCTATTGGCCCTCGAGGACTTCTCGGTTAGGTGAAGTTGCAATCAGTAGGTCACAACTCCAGTCTCATCTTAGTTCAGTTGTGTGTTTTGGTGTTGGAGTGCCTTTTTTCCTTTATGTTTCTTGGAGCAAACGAGGTAGTCAAGAGTTGAGGGAACAAGGTGAGACATTTCCGGTGAATTAAGCTTCATTTTCAACAATTATATGCAATCATAATTGTTTTTAAATGTATACAATGGTTGAACACTTCAGAATGAAGAGAGACGAAAATTTCGGCTGCTATGGTATGGTTATGGTTGAGTGGGTTGAGGCATATGAGTGACAATCTGGAAATCTCAGTTTTTACCCAGCTACAACACTCAGTTTGAGATAATTAGCTTTAGTTTTGGTAGACAATTTTACCCAACACCTATGTTTGTATGCACTCAATCTGGCCCAAACGTCAGCTTTGTTTTAAAAATATGGAATGAAAAAAAGCTTCTAGTTATGCCTACTATCCCCCCTCCCTTGGGGATGATCATTGTAATAATGTTGCAATAAAGACATTATATTTCTATTGAAGTAGATCCACTGGAATAGGTTGTGCCCTCTAGGAATTCTATGGTAGCAAATTGACGGTTAGGGGAGCAGTTTTGTGCTAAGTATATCCCACAGATGATGTGTGTATAATTGTTGTGTTGTGACATATCGTAAAAGCAGATATGCTGAACTGATGAGTAAATCAGTTGTTCCTCTCTTACTTTTGGTTTTTGTAATTTATCTATTAAGTTATTATTTTCTGGGGGTGAACTGGGGTGCAAGAGGCACTATTCATTACTAACTAGTAAAGGGCTGCTAGATGGACTATTCATTACTAGTTAGTCAACACCATTGCAAAGTCTTTGCTTTTCCTCCGTTTTTTGAGAAAGACTTTACTCTTCCTTCTTAGAGCATTAATATATTCATAAACTCTTGATTCCAACAGTCTGTAGAAAGGGAAAACCGAAAATCCATGTGCTTGATTAAATGGTTTGATGATGCGTGTACATGGGTCCTTATAGTACTACTGGTAATAAGGCGGAGAGGGAGGGGAGTCGTTAAAATGAGAAGGGATAATAGAAGTTATGGTCATATGTTAGCTATGATATCTAAAATTCTACCACTAGCATATGCTCAATGTTTAAAATTGGTAGAAGCAAAAGTCATGTGAATATAATGTTTCTGAAAAGACTTTCTTTTATCATGTGAAGAAACACTTCCTTGAGGAAGTTCCACTGTGAAATAAAATGAAATGATTAGAGTAGGTTGAACTTCTGTTCCAGTTATGACTGAGCCTCTGTTACTTAAACCTGTCTTCACTGATTTTGAAAGTCTTAGCCCTATTAATGAGGATGTTTATCGATTCCTATGCTTGGTATTAGTTTCTTTTGCAATGGTATCCTGTTGCTCTCCCATGGCTACACCATCTGATGCTGCTTCAATAAGGTCTTGTCTCGTTTTCGTCAAAATCATAATATGCCATCTTGTTTTATTATCTTTACCTTATAGTATGATTGCTTGGGCTGTACTGGATCACTTTCTCTTTCAAATGTTCTTTCAGTGGAAAGAGATTTTCTTCGTGATTTATGATCCTTATCCTGGGACGTACTGTATCACTTTCTTTTTTAAAATGTTCTTTCTGTGGAAAGAGATGTTCTTCGTGAATTATGTTTCTTATCCTCGAACATGGCTTTTACTTTCTTTTAAAGCTAAGGTGCCCAAAGTCTCCAATCCTCTATCTGTAACATTTTCTGAACGATCACATACATAGACATTTTTGTCCACTTTGTCTACCTTTCATGCCAAAGAAACATTCACAAAGACACGCGATATAAAAGTTCTGATACATCTGCAACAATATTTTACTAACAGTTGAGAGAAATTAATCTACATAGTTCTGATTTAAAAATCTAAAAATCGTGTTCCAATTTATATACCATTTTGGACCTTGGGACATCCCCAAAGAGAATATAGCTACGTCATCGGGCTTACATATTTTTGGGGTAAGTTGTATTTGCATTCTGATTCTGAGAAAGGGGTAAAGCTTTGAAAACTAATAGGAATACTGTATGGGACAACATGTTCTCACTGGCATGATGCTTATGACTTAAATACATGGAGAACAAAAATGAAGGCAAAAAGTTACCTGCATATTTATTTGACAACTCTTTGGGTGTTATGCAGGCCAACAGGCATACTATTATTCTCATGCAAACATCTCAGAATAGAGCAACTCGCACTTTCATGGATTACGAATCAATAAGTCAAGCAATGGATGGTATTAATCATTACACTATAACTGCATGCACTTTTGAGATATACACTTTCTGGATTACCTATGAAATTGCTTTAAAAGTTTTTTTTTCTTTTTTCGTAAATGTGGGTAAGCAGAAATATGGCATGAAACTAGGAAAATATTTGAATCACAAACCTATTTGTCAATTACAGATTTATATCAGCAGCTTGAAATATGTTACTAGAATTCAACATATTTTAGCAATCTACCTGTAGTCCTTGCAAACAATTTCATTCTGTATCATTATCTATAGGAGAAAATCCTTCTTTCTCTTATAAAACTTTGACAAATGCTTATTCTGTACCTTCTTATCGAACCTCAACGAACATTGGTCTGACTAATTCAAGTATGTTAATCTTAACTTCCCATTTTGTTCATCACACCTTTAGAATTATGGACAAGAGCTTCTGTGAGAGTAAATATGATAGACAAGAACTAGGATGGATAAAGGAATGAAGGGTATCTTTTGACTACAAGGTAAAGGAAATCAAGGCAAATAGAGAATCACTCTTATGATGGGATTGGATAGTAGAAAGGAACTGGGACCTGTATGGACTTACTTTCTAGGAATAAGTAGGATCATTACGTCAAGGGAAAGGCCTTCTTAAATCTCCATAAGACTGCATTCTTTTTCTTTTGCATTATAGGTGTGTTGTTATAGACCCCGTGACAAGCAAGAAACTTCATGGTTCTGGAGTTAGTTAGTCTAGGGATGTTCTTGCATTTAATTGACTCAAGCCCTCAATGACAGTCCATATTGATGTTAGAAGTTTATTCTGAGGCACTACATAGAGTTGTGAGATCATATGATATTCAGGAAAGTGCTCTTTCCCCTAATGCTTATACACATCTCCAAGTTAAGAAAGTTAAAACCCGTCATGTTTCACTAAAATTCACTTGGATACCTTCGATTTTGATCCACCCATCCGTTAATGGAAACAAATAGAAAGGCTTTTGCACAAGACGACAGTTATTTGTTTAATACACTTGGATGTTAATTGCCTGGAAAATGTAAAGTATCCATATAGGAAATATCAACTAACTAAACCTTAGAGAGAGAAGATGGAGTCTTTCCTCCCACCCAATCTCCTCTTCTTCCCTTCCTTTCTTCATTTATAACAGAGATAGCCCCTCCGCGACCAACCCTCAAAAAACATCTCCGGCAGAAAAGGACCCACGCACCCTCACGCGCCACCGGAAGGAGTTTTCCAGCGGTCCACGCGCCGGCGCGTGACACTGTTTCCGGCCAGATTTTGGGAATTTTTCTTCAGAACAACCTCTTCTCCTCGCAAATCCGAGCCTACCCATCCAATTAAAATCAAATTCCAACCGCTTTTATATTTTTCCGGTGTGAACAATGTGTTTTCCAGCATTTGAGTACTGCAAAAGCTTTTCCGGCATCGTTCAGTACCGGAAAATACATCTTTCCTTCCTACACCCTATTTTCACCCACTGTGATTACTGATTCTCTTAAATAAAAGTTATTTCTTATGGGGGAAAATAGAATTTATCTTAACGCTGGTTTTAAATCTTTTGATATCATCAGATGGACCTCCAACAATGATACATGGTTCGATTGGGTGGAGAGAAGTCGCAATATGATGAGACGCTTCACGTTAAGCAAAAAGACTATGGAATGGGTCTGTAATGTGCTCAAAGAAGCTTCTAATGACCAGAAGAATGTGGTACGGAGATGGAAGAATAAGGACAGACTAACTGAATATTTTTGTACTAGGAAGTACAATGACCATGGGAGATACATGAGTATATTGTCTTTCAAAAGAGACAATCGTGAGGTCATTATAATCCCTGAACTTGCTTTGAATGCAGGATGGAGAGACATTGCATTTAAGATAGAAAGGTTTATTAAATGCTCCTCCCAACTCAATTTCATAGGGCCACCCAGACTTTCTGTGGCAAATTACCCTTATGCCAAAGCAGTACAAGAGAGAGAATGGCAATCAAACAACCTTCATGAAGCAGTTGTCAGCACTAATAAAAGAGGCATCACGATCCTGGAGCCAAATGGGATGAAAGATAACGGACTTCTGACAAGATGTATCATTGGGTACTTTGAGAAGGAAACAACTGAGAGACCTACACTATCAGACATTCGAAGATGGGCCTGTATAACGTGGAAAACAACATTTGGAGTGAACATGTATAGGATGGCTGAGAATCTTTTTCTGTCTGAGTTCCCCAACAGAAACATGGCTGAGCAGATTCTCCAAGGAGAATGGAGGTGGAAGAAATGCAAGCTTTATCTCGAATGGTGGAACCCCATCACCGGTTGTCTTTCCAAATCCATATCTGTCAAAAGCACCCGGATCAGAGCCATGGGAGTCCCCCTACATCTGTGGTCACATAAGATTTTCAAAGAAATAGGAGACCTTTGTGGTGGGTGGAAAGCTACGGAAGAAGAGACAGAACTCAAAAACCATCTCAAGTGGGCAAGAATTCAAGTAGCAGGAGATGGCTGCAATATACCAAACGAGGTAGTCATTGAGAGCGAGGGGGTCAAATTTTTCATACCAATATGGCCTGAAAGGAAAACTCGCTTTGAACTAGGGCCGGAGATTTCCAGGGAGACAACCGGAGATGACACAGGATCGAAGCCTCTGAAGAACGGTCGGACAAAGATAACCTACGAGGTAGAAGGGGTACAGGATAGCCTTTTAGCTGTAGATGGGACGGGTAAGTACCACGTGAGGTGTACTGAGTACATTGACAAAAATAAGGGAAAGGCACGTGCAATGCAAGAGGATGGTTTGGGAGAAAAAATATTACTTTTGGGCCAATCCAGCGTGTCCAGCAATGTGCCAGGTATTAAAAATACAATTGGGCCTGACTGTGCAGCCCAAGTCATCTTTAATGAATCATATCTGGAGCCCACAGAGATAGCAAGGTTCGACTCTTTTCTAGAAGAAACGAAAGCTGTTTTACATTCACAACAAGAAGCCAACCAGGAGAGTCAACAGAGGTTCGTTGATGTAGTTGCAAACTTGGGGAGTTCACCACATGCGGAGATGCTGATGCTAGAGGAGCCAAGAGAAGAAGAACGGAAAGGGTTACAAGAGATGAAGGTAGACGATGCTCTGCCACTAATCGTAATTGGGGAACCTCATCTTATTTTTGAAATTGAGTGTGAGAACCAACTACATCTCAATTCAATTGGGGAAAATTGGGAAGTCGAATATGTTGAACCCCTTCTGGTTCAGCATCAGGAGTCTTTTCTGGAGAAAGAGATGGATGCGACCTTATGGGTTCATCAACATTTGCTCAAACTGAGCAAAATGTTTGGGGTAGATTTTCAGGGACATGAAGAAGAAGCTTTGGAATTACTTATGCAGATATATAGTTGTAGACAAGCTAGAAGGATGGAGCCAGCACTAGACATCAAGAAAACTAGATTCAAAGGGGCATACGAGCTGAAAGGTTTGGTTTCCTTTGATGTTAAATTCCAGAGCAACGGGAAAAGATTTAGGGGAAAAAGCCTGACACTAATTGATCAATGAAGTTCAAACTAGTTTCATGGAATGTAAGGGGACTTATGATTTGGCTAAAAGAAGGATAGTAAAGAGTTTAGTTCAACTCTGGAATGCATATATTATCTGATTTCAGGAGACTAAACTTGAGGGGGAAATACAAGAGCTTGTTAAGCAGATTTGGGGAGGGCGCTGGGTGAAGATTGCTTGTCTGGAGTCTAGTGGTACTAGAAGGGGCATTATGATGTTATGGGATTGTAGAATCTGAAAAGCGGAAGTCGTTCAAATTGGAGCCTATACATTTGCATGCAAATTTGAGGCATTCTTGCAGAACTCTGAATGTCACATAACAGGGGTGTATGCCCCAAACTGTAATATTGAGAGGAGGAAAGTTTGGTGGGAGATAGGAGCTGTGAGGGGTTTGGTGGAGGGCCCATGGGCTGTTTGTGGTGATTTTAACGTTACCGGATTTCCTTCTAAGAAAAGGAACTGCCTTAGGAGATCCAGAGCTATGGTGGAATTTTCAGATTTTATAAATGATATGAATCTGATCGATTTCCACTAGGAGGTGTTTACACCTGGTTCAAAGGGGATAATCAAATAATCTCCTCAAGAATTGATAGAATCCTGATCTCTGAAGAATGGGATGACACCTTCAGGAACATCAAGCAAACCCTCTTCCAACGACTAATCTCTGACCATGTTCCTGTGTCTTTACAATGTGGTTCTTGGGAGTACACCAAGTCATACTTCAAGTTTGATAGCTGGTGGCTGAACACATAAGGCTTCATAGATAGAATCAAAGAATGGTGGACATCTTTTGAATTTTCAGGGAGGCTAGATTTCATCTTAGCTTGTAAAATGAAAACACTCAAAGGCAAGCTGAATGAATGGAGTAGAAGTAGCCAGGGGAATTTGGGATTGCAAAAGACCAACATGCTAAATCACTTAGTAATGTTGGACTTTACTCTAGAATATAGAGCCCTAACAGAAGAGTAATCAATGAAGAAGGCCTCTCTTCTCATGGAATATGAGGAACACCTGAAAAATGAAGAAATTGCATGGAGGCAGAGATCCAGAGCTCTTTGGCTTAAGGAGGGGAACAAGAATACAAGTTTCTTCCATAAAATTGCTTATGCACATAAGAGAAGCAATAACATTGATCAGTTTGTTTATTCAGGAAGAAACAATTGTAGAGCCACAAAGAATCAAGGCTGAGATCATTGACTTTTACAAAGAG